GGGGAGGCTCTCATGGTCGAGAGGTTACAGTGTTCGCCTCTCATTCAATAGGTCTTGGGTTTGAAACCTGACAGCGACGGAAACTTTTCTTCTCCAAAATGTTCCCTCTTCACTTCCTGTCCTGCTCTCAAACAATGTTCTGTCGTCTGCTTTCGTCTCCACATTTTTTGTCCCTACCACCTCATCTCCACTGCCAGCTACGCTGGGCTCCTTCTTACTGCTGTCTTCAGCCTCCCCCTAATCTTATGGTTGGTAACATCTAACACATAGCCTTCTCGGAAAAAGGCGAACATTTTTGGAAGTTCCGTGCGCAGGTTGCGCACATTAAAGATCCACTGGTAGTCCAAAAGCGATAAGAGAAGGCTTCGGCCGCCACCTGGGCAAAATTCAAAATTTCCAACCTACCAGTTTGGTAAGAATTAATTTGGAATCTTGCCCGAGTGGCGACTGAAACATACTATTATCGATTTTAGGACCATAAAGGGATCTTTAGGAGGAGACGAAAGCAGACAATGAAACATGGTTAGAGAGCAGGAAAAGAGGACTGGTATAAGGGGAGCATTTTGGAGAAGAAAATTGTCCATGGCTGTCAGGTTTCGAACCCAGGACTTATTGAATGCGAAGCAAACACCGTAACCTCTCGACCATGAGAACCTCCGGCCCTGGTCTAGATTCTAAAAGCGGGTGAACATTATCGTGTTACAATGTCTTCAATACAATAATGTGGCTTCGGTGGCTTAGTGCTTAAGCTCTGAGACTCGCAACCGTAAGGTTGTGGGTTCGAATCCCATCAGGATCCCGACCTTGTGTCCTGGGGAAAGGCACTTTACACGAATTTTCCTCATTTCACCCAGGTGGGTATGGGTACTCAACTATAGACAGTGAAAGATCTTGTCAGTTTGTTAGCTTTTGAGCGCTTAATCAGCTGCTTGCACTGTATGCTTCCGAGGAAGCGGAGAATGTTTCTGAGTGTTCTATGGTCTGCTGTGGTAATAATAATACATATTATGTAGTCTTTAAAGCGCATAGAGCTTGTTGATATGCACTATACAAGTGCTATTTACTTATCTATTATTATTAATATTATTGACATTATGTTTGCTATATTTTCAGTAACGAGCTCTTTGGACACGCTGATGTGGGGTCTGGTGTCCATGGTGATCGTGCTGTGGAGACGAGGAACGTTCTAAACCACATGATGACCCGGCTGTGTGTATGCTTGTGTGTGTGTGTGTATGTGTGTGTGTGTGTGTGTGTGTGTGTGTGTGTGTGCATGTGCATGTGTGTATGGGTATGTGTATGTGTGTATGTGCATGTGCGCTTGGATTTGTGTGTGTGTGCATGTGCTTGTGTATTTGTGTGTGCGTGTGTGTATGCATGTGTGTGCATGTGTATGTGTGTATGCATGTGTGTGCCTACAGCTGCATGTGCATGTGTGTGAATGCATGTGTGTGTGTGTGTGTGTGCGTGTGTGTGTTTGTTTGTGAGGCAGGAAGACGGAAGAGGTACTCGGTACAAGCCCAGGCTCATCCCAAGGACGTCTATCTCAACACCCTCACTGTTTCAACTGATCTTCACAGTGGAGCAGGCTGCTTGTTTTTCCATTTACAATGACATTTTTTTTTCATTTCTTATTTTTAAAGTTCACTTAATTTCAATTTAGTTCATGATTTTTTTTATACCATAGGAGCATGCTTACTGCTTACAAAATGGCGTTTTTGTATTTTTTTGGGTTTCTAAATTCCATATAATTTGAATCTTAATTAACATTTTTCTTAAAAGTTAATCATTTTAAGTTTTTGATAATTCATTGTTAATTGAAATTAAATAATTAAATGATTGTTTTTGGAAGGAGGTGTTGATTTGTCTGTAGTTACAATTGGTATGCACGTTGAGAAAACAATTTGAAGTATTTACAAGTAATACGAGCGAGGAATACCATCAGCAACCATCAAACAGTAAGGACTGAGGGAGTGAGAATTTGGGGGGGGGGTAGCGGGGGGGGGGGGGGGGGGTGCGGGGAGAGGTTCTTGTGGCCTCGGGGTTAAGATGTTCACCTATTATTCAGACGATTCCAGGTTCGAATACGGGTAGAGACAAAACTTTTCTTCTCTAAAATTGTCTCCTGTCACCTCCTTTTCTGCTCTCCAGCAATGTTCTGTCGTCTGCTTTCGTCTCCACTTTCTGCCCCAACTCCGCAACTTCCTTTGTCCCTCCTGACTCTTTCTGCAGCCTTTCTACTGCTTCTCCTTGGCGCCTTCTTACTGCTATCTTTCAGCCGCACCCCTGATCTTTTGGTAGGAAAGATCTACACCTAGCCTTCTCGGACAAGGGCGAAAAATCTCGGAGGTCCCATGTGCAAGTTGCGCACGTTAAAGGTCCCTTGGTGGTCTGAAATCAATAAGAGTAGGCTTCGACCGCCAGCCGGGAAAAATGCAAAATTTCCTACCAACTGAAAATGTTTGGTGTGTCCAGCGCGCTCGTTTGACCTCATCCAGTTGTGAGCGCAGCAAAACACTTAACAAAACAAAAAACAAAACAAAAAACGAATACGGCTGTTGAAGACACCGTCATACAAACAGCAACGAGTCAAGGGAAGTGGAGAATGGTCATGTATTTTTGTTGTTGTTGTTGTTGTTGTTGTTGTTGTTGTTGTTTTTGTTGTTGTTGCTGTTTAGAACATCTCTGTGTCCATTCCTCTTGGTTCCAGGTAAATGTGGCGACTTCGGTAGTCTTGTGTTTAGACAACTGGACTCGCAATCGAGAGGTTGGGTGTTCGAAGCCCAGGGCCGACATAGTGTGTTTTTGTTTGTTTTGTTTATGTTGTTTATGTTTTGTTTTTTTTAGTTTGTGTGATAGTTTGTTTGTTTGTTTGGGTTTTTAAAAATTGTTTTTGACCCAATAGGGACTTAGCGTCCTTGGAAAAAGCAGTTTACACACATTTTCCTCACTTCACCCACCCAGGTGTAAATGGGTACCCAGCCATAGACGGCGAAAGATGTTGTCAGTTTGTTAGACTTTTAGCATCTGATTCTTTAAAATAGCTGATTGCACTTAATGCTTCACAGGAAAAATGAGATGATTTCATAATATATACATGTCGTTCAAAGTGGCCCGAAACATTGGGTCGTTAACATTGTCAAATTACCGGAGTGCTCCTTCTAGATGAGTTAACTCTTTTCAGGCATACTGGCCTAAACCGGCCTTAACCGGCCTTAACCGGCCTTAACCGGCCTCCCCGCCACGTTGCCATACACCGGCTGTTACCGGCTTTGCTGCTGTTGCGCCGTACCGTCTTTTAGCAGCCTGACACATGCGTGTGGGTGGTTGACGCGTGTTCTGGTGTGGTTTGCTCCTTCTTTCCTATCAAACATCTATCGTCTATATCTCCCCTCCTTTTTTATGTTTGTTACTCCCTTGTAACACCTCTAATCTTCTCCGCTCATATGACCATATGCAGTTGCGAGCGCTGTAAAACCTCTACTGAAATAAAGCAAACGTGACACATGCTTAGAAATAGAAACATTCCACTCTAAATTTAGACGCTGGCATCCTAGGCCTTTGTAAGTAAAATTTCATTGAAATACGTCGATTGGACCAAACGCAAAAACAATTTCTTTGCTACATCCTCTGAACCAGTGCTGTTCTGCTGACCTATTAACTATGGTACTGAGAGGGTTAAGGTTAAAGTTTTGTTCTTTCATAATTGTACCCGGCGAATTTGGCTGAAAACTTTTTGTTTAAAAATCATTTTCACCTTGTCCATTTCTATGAAATGACGCTTTTGTGTTTACATGTAGTAATTTTTTAAAATTATGTAGAACGTTTTACATTTTAAAGTTAAACTTTTATTGAACTATTACTTAATTTTTATAACATTTATTGCCAATGAATTGTACACCCAAATATAACAATAGCCCCAATTGGATATGATAACTGCAACTGATTAGAAAACGATAATAATACAGCTATAACACAATTGTGTTGTGGTGTCACTAGGCCACCGGATTCATAATCATGAGGTTGTTGGTGGCCTAGTGGTTAGGCTACCGGACTCATAATCGTGAGGTTGTTGGTGGCCTAGTGGTTAGGCTACCGGACTCATAATCGTGAGGTTGCGGGTTCGGGGGTTTGAGCCGCGGGCCCGACGTTGCGTCCTTGGAAAGGCACTTTACACGAATTGTCCCCATTTCATCCAGGTGGGAATGGGCACGTGGTCATAGACAGTGAAAGATCTTGTCAGTATGTTAGTGTTTTATCGCCTATAATTGGCTCCTTGCACTGTATGCTTCCCAGCAAGTTGAGGTTGTTTCAGAATGCTCTCTGGTCTGCTGGGGTGAGGGTATAGATTGGGAAGCGCATAGAGCTTGCTTTGAGCTGGGATTTGCGCTATACGAATGCTATCTATTATTATTATTATTATTATTATT